ATTATCCCTTGCTAGCAAGAAACTAGTGTAATGAATGAGAAGTAGGTGTAGTGTATCTAATGTAAAGGATAAGAATTACATATAACAGTCCAAATGTAATGAATGCGATACAAGACAAGGGATCTATTAATGTAATGAATAGTGAATAATACAAAATGCCATGTTGGGAATGGGAAGGAATGGTAACTGATAAATAGTTCTTAATAAACATTAGGATTATATGTAATAAATAACACTATCCAGTAATAAGGGAAAATGAAAATCGCAAAATTGGTTGTTATAATTGCCCCCCAAAAATTTATTAGATAAGTTATTAGGCATGCTTCAAAGTTATGCCCATCTTATTTACTACCTCTACATTTTCCATAACCAGTAGCACAAAATATGACTGCTTAACCTCTTTTTAAACATTTAATAATATCTAATAATCCACTTATATTCTGTATACTTTAACCATTTATGGACATGCAAGGCAATCCACATAACCCCTTTACCCCACTATAATTTATAAAAACATACCAAATTTAGGTCCTGCAGTTCCAGTAACAAAACTTCACAAGTCATTCCATTTTTTCCTCAATTTTTGCCCTAGCCATGGTTTCAATGAATAAAAGAAATGCTTCTTGTTGTGTAATGCATAAGCACCATACATTGTTCATAAAAGATAGGTGGCTTTGAAGCCACTGTCGGTCACCGTGAGCTCAGCTCGCTCAGATAAGTTGACTTAAATTTGGGCCTACACATGAGAATAGGTCTGTGTGGTAAGTGTGCACTATATAAAAAAATCCTGTATCACGCAGTACATAATGAGAAAAGAAACAGCGACACCAAAAACCGTTTTTGATGTAAACATAAGAACATAATAACGAAGGAACACTGCAGCAGGCCTACTGGCCCATGTGAGGCAGGTCCAAGTCTCCTACTGGCTTAAGCCAATGCACCCAACCTAGTCAGGTCAGGTCACCTTGACTTAAGGGAGGAACACGGCAACCGTCCTGGTAGCACAAGCTAATCAGGTCCAACTCACACCCACCCACACCCACTCATGTATTTATCCAACCTATTTTTAAAGCTACACAACGTTCTGGCCTCTATAACTGTACTTGGGAGTTTGTTCCACTCATCCACAACTCTTACCAAACCAGTACTTTCCTATATCCTTCCTGAATCTGAATTTTTCTAACTTAAAACCATTGCTGCGAGTCCTGACTAGGCTAGATATTTTCAGCACACTATTTACATCCCCTTTATTTATTCGTGTCTTCCATTTATACACCTCAATCATATCCCCCGTAATTCTACATCTTTCTAGAGTGAAGATTCAGGGTCCTTAGTCTATCCTCATAGGGAAGGTTTCTGATACATGGGATCAACTTTGTCATCCTCCTTTGTACATTTTCCAGAGCATTTATATCCATTTTGTAATATGGTGACCAAAACTGTGCAGCATAATCTAAATGAGGCCTAACCAAGGATGTATAGAGGTGAAGAACAACCTGAGGACTCCTATTATTTATGCTTCTTGATATAAAGCCAAGGATTCTATTAGCTCTATTGCGAACACTTATGCACTGTTGTCTTGGTTTCAGATTACTGCTGGTTTAGAAAGACACGTAAGCAAACACTATGACATATTTATTAGAAAACGTTTTGGTCCTGGGACCTTGATCACTACTGCTAACCAGAACTCCTAAATCTTTTTCGCAATCCATAATATTAAGATCTACATTATTTAGTTTATATGTGGCATGGTTATTGTCCTGTCCAACATTTAGAACTTTGCATTTGTCTATATTAAACTGCATCTGCCACCTCTCCGACCACTGCATCAGTCTACTCAAATCTTCCTGGAGTGCTCTAATGTCCTCGTCAGAATGAATTCGACGGCCTATTTTGGTGTCATCGGCAAACTTGCTGATGTCGCTCTTTATGCCCTCATCTATGCAGTTTATGTATATTGTGAACAGCAGGGGGCCCAACACTGACCCCTGTGGAACACCGCTCGTGACGCTTCCCCACTCTGATTTCTCCCCATTTATGCAAACTCTCTGCTGCCTGTTTGTCAACCATGCCTCTATCCAGGAAAAAATTTCTCCTATTCCATGTGCCTTAATTTTCCTCAGTCTCTGATGTGGGACCCTGTCAAAAGCCTTACTGAAGTCCATGTACACTATCATATTCATTACCATGATCTACCTCCTCAAATACCTTAGTGAAAAAAGTTAATAAATTTGTAAGGCAGGAACGCCCCTTTGTAAAACCATGATGAGATTCGTTGATTAATTTATGCTTTTCAAGGTGGCTACGAACTGCCTCAGCAATTATTGATTCCATAAATTTTCCCACTATGGAGGTTAGGCTTATTGGTCTATAGTTTGAAGCTAAGGACCTGTCACCTGCTTTGAAAATAGGTATCACATTTGCCATTTTCCACTTATCTGGCACAATGCCAGTTTGTAGTGATATGTTGAAAAGATTAGCCAAAGGTTTGCTAAGCTCCTCTTTACATTCCTTTAGAACCCTTGCATACAGTTCATCAGGGCCTGGGGATTTGTTAGGTTTTAATTTATCTATTTGCCTAAGGACCATGTCACTTGTGACCCTAATCGTGCACAGTTTATTATCGTCCTGTTCCACATAATTTATCATTTCTGGAATATCGCTGGTATCCTCCTGTGTAAAAACTGAGAGGAAGTATGTGTTAAAACTTCTACACATTTCCTTATCACTGTCCGTGAGCTGACCCGAGGAACTTTTGAGTGGGCCTATCTTGTCCCTGATCTTACTTCTGTATACCTGAAAGAATCCTTTTGGGTTAATCTTCGAATCTCTTGCAACTTTAACCTCGTAATCTCTCTTTGCTTTTCTAATTCCTTTTTTTATTTCTCTCTAACTGAATATATCGATTTCTTAATTACCCCTCTCCTCTTTTGATTTGCCTATACGTATATGCCTCTCTTTTGACCAATTAGATATTTTAATCTATTGTTCATCCATTTAGGATCATTTTTGTTTGATCTGATTTCCCTATTTGGAACATAATTTGACTGAGCAGCTAGAACTATGCCCTGGAAAGCGCCATATCGGCAACCATCACCACCTATCTGACCCTTAGTCAGGTCATTCCAGTTCAGCCCACCTAAGTAATTTTTCAGTCCTATGAAATCAGCCAAGCGGAAGTCAGGGACAGAGACTTGATTGCCATTATTAGGGGAATTCCATGATATATTAAATCTGAGTGACTTGTGATCACTTTCCCCAAGCTCATCATTAACCTCAAGATTATTAATTAGTGTTTCCCTACTGGCAAGAACCAAGTCAAGGAGGTTATTTCCCCTAGTTGGCTCTGTCACAAACTGTTTTAAAAAACAATCCTGGATCGTATCAAGAAAGTCACCTGACTAAATTTCCTGTCAAATTGCTCCAGTCAATCTGTCTATAGTTGAAATCTCCCATTAGCACAACATTTTCGTTTGTAGATGCCTTACGAATTTCGTCCCATAGAAGTTTACTGCACTCCCTATCAAGATTTGGGGCCCTGTAAATCACACCCAAAATTAGTTTTTCTCGGCCCTCGAGAAGCTGTAACCAAACAGATTCAGTGGCTGACGCTTCTAATTTTATATCTTGTCTAACACAACAATTTAAATTGTCTCTAAAATAGCAACTTTTTATTTTTTATGGTTGTATTTTAGATTTTTTTTTCTAGTTTAATAGAATGGAAGATATATTACAGAAATAGATATGACCCGAGGAACTTTTGAGTGGGCCTATCTTGTCCCTGATATGATTTTAATTGAATTCCTGACTGAAAGTACATTGAAATTGTGCTCAGTGGCGGAAATGTTCAATTTTTGCCGATATTCAAGAGTAAACAAATGACATCACTATCCAATATGTCTAACTGGTCGGTCTAATATGCAGCCATGAATGGGTTGACATTATTTATACAATTGCAGTAATGCAGTAGTCTGCATAATAGTAAATTGTATATGTATGTATATATGTATGTATAAAATTTTATGAGTTTGGTAAACTGGAGCAATGTAATGGGACAAAAATAGGGTGTAAAATGGGTGAAATCGTCAATGCATAAATATCACTGTTGGGTTAAGGGTATTCTAACCTAACCACTCTGTAATCTGGCAAAATCAATAATCCAGCACTTTTCAGGTCCTGATGTTGCCGGATTAGTGATGGTTAACCTGTATTAAAATCGTGTGATAGTCCACAAAACACAATTGTTGTATTGACTTCAACTGTATACTGCAATGTGTTTTTTGACTGAATCTTGGTACATGCATCTTAGTTCTAATAAGCTTGGAGCATATAAGGCATCTTTCTGCCAGTTCCACACCACATTTGCTGGGATGGAAGCTGAAGGTGTTAAGACAGGTCCTGGTTGTATTGTTTATACAGTGGTACCTTGAATTTCGAACAGCTCCCAATTTTAACAATTGTGCAAGTGTATTTTTGTAAGTGCTTTTGTAAGTATTATTGGGGGGTCTGAAATGGAGTAATCTAATTTACATTATCCCTTATGGGAACAAATTCGTTCGGTAATGGCACTCTAACAGCCTTCTAAAATGAATTATGGCTGAAATTCGAGGTACCACTGTATGTGTATGTTCTGAGGCAGTTTCTCAGGGTGTACTACACAAATCTGTCTGTTCCTAGGGTTTTTCCTGGGTATGAAGTTTTAGGTGACCCAAACGGTTGAGCAGAGCCCTAAAATGGTGGTGCATGATAAATTTGAAGGCACACAAAAAATAAGTTATATCAGACAGCCTAACACGGCATATGTCAGTTTAGTAAAAGGTATAGTCATCTGCATATAGTAAGTTTACATTTGACACTGGCATAATTTACATAGCACTAGACATGGTAATAAGATTCAAGCTTTGTCATGCAGGCACTTTTTTTCATGGTAGTATTGTGTAAAGCATAATTGGGTACAGTGCTTAGCATATATTGTACTTAAAAATAATTTTCTTTTACAGGTTGTAATAGTAAAAATGGGAAATATAATCACATCCCTATTCAAGGGCCTTTTTGGCAAGAAGGAGATGCGGATTCTCATGGTGGGGTTGGATGCTGCTGGTAAAACCACCATTTTATACAAGCTAAAGCTTGGAGAAATTGTCACTACTATCCCCACAATTGGTAAGGATTATCATGGATGTACAGAGTTTTTTATCCATGGCTTTCAAGAGCAATACACAAATTTCATAATTATTCTGCTTTTATTTGCAATGAATATTTACATCAAGAAAATTATAAATGCAAATAACTATGTAAAGTTAATCTTTTTATTCTTTGTATGTTAAGTCATTAGTGCAGGACAGGGAAAGACAGTAAATCCATGGGTGGGAGTTTATGAAGTTTGGGCATGCCATGCATGTTCTAATGAGTTTTCCAGTGTAATGGGTTAGCTTAGAAATTAGTCTGGGTGAAGATTTATTGGCAGTTATCAGGTTGAGAATATTTGTCCGGTAGGTAGTATTGTAATGTACCATTTTCAAGCTGTTGACCATGGTCCATAGATGGCACTGCAGTGATTTTTTTTTTTCTCTCTCCACTTGTTACACTATAGGATTTTCAAGAATTATCCAGCTCTGTTTATATCAAAGCCACATCATTGCAAAAGAATAATTGATACAATGTAGTAATGTTTAATATACCTAATAAAATGATGGACAAGTTAGAAAGGTCAAAATTATTTCCCAGAGTTAAAAAATAACTTTTGATGAAAGGTTGAAAGCTGTAAAGATATCCATGCTGCTGATAGGAAGAGATGAGTCATAACCAATCATGAAAGGGCATGCCAAATTTTTTTTTTTTTGAGTGACAGGTTAAACAAGAGGCCGCAGTTGTAATTAGAGAAGTGGAGCCAAAGGTATAATTAACTCTTTCACTGTTGTCCCAGAAATAAGTGTTGACTGTTGCAGTTTAAAAAAAAAAAATCTAGAGCATATTTTTGTGAAGGTAATCCGACGTATACATTTTTTTTCTGTCAGTACTTACTGAGATATGAAGGTGTAAGTTGAAGGTCATTGCCCTGCTGATGGCAACATTGGCAATTGCTGTACACTTAGATTTTTTTTTTCTTCTCTCGAAGGTTTCCTAATTTTTTACATATTCTAGTGACTGTTGTGGTCTGTAACTCCCAAATTGTGCACAGTGTATGTATGGCTAGCCTTTGTATACAGTACAGTACTTGCACTAATAGTATGTCATTTCCCATCCAGTGATACACACTATAAATACATGTCTAATTACTTCACTTTTCTACTGTTCTGACATGTACACTTACAGGCACTGGTCCTGTTCCTAGGAATGTTGGTCTGTGGGAGTCCATGAAACACGGCTCCATACATAGTGGTGTGTTACTCCCTTTACAAAAGGTGTATCTGTGCTTTAATGGGTGCCTTGACATGTCCACAGACATCTGAACCCATTTCTTATCTTTAGCAAGAATTATGGTTAGAAAGTGATCACATGCTTCAAATGAGAGGGTATTTGGTGATCAGTACATGGTGCATGTGTTGACCTGATCTTTCTGTAAGTCTAATTAGAGACAGAAGTGAGTATGCGAGTCTTGCCAGTCTTCATCTGGTACAGTGTATGCATTCAGAATTGGTGTCAACAAGATGGAAGAAAGGTTTCACGTACCACTTGTAGTTCTTCCGGACACAATCAACAAACCCAATCTGCATGTCACGCTTGTCCACCAAATGCATATTTAGTGCAATCCATAACAGTATTTGGTCTCACAATGGGTTTATTAGCTTTATTCACCTTTCCTGTGTTTTCATTTTGTGCTAGTGGATGGATGTCATTGATGTCATGTCATTTATGCCACCAAAGTGCCATGTCATTGACATGAAACATCTGCATCATACCAGAACCAAAGCCTGTTGGACTTTGGTATGATTGTTACGTGCACTATACCACATGTCTGTCATGTTCACCTCCAGGAAATACCAGTTAGAGGCTTGTGTACCAGGTATCAATGTATAATGTATTACCCTTACCAAGATATGGTTTCATCATTTTTCTCGCATCTGAAATTCCCAGTAATTTTCTGGTATATTTCTACATTTTTGCTTCCTGTGTACACAGAGATCCAATTTCAAAACAATTTAATAAGTTGCCTTGTACTTAAAATATACTGCTTGAACAGCAGTCTTACCTTTCAAGAAGCTCAGAATTGTCAGTGACAGTGTTCTGGATAAAAATACTCTTAACTTCCATTTCAGATGCATAAAACCATTCCTGATCTTGTATAACATGTCACTTCTTTCAAGCCTCATCTTGTCTGAGAAATGTATCATACATAGCAGCTGGATAATCTGCTGATGGTATGAAATCAGGATGCCATGGTAAATATAAGATCAGTTGCCTAGTATGATGCAATACTGTGCTTATGCACAAGTTGCACTAGCGTGATTGTTAGGATATCTTTGCCACAGTTGTATCTTTCCATTTGTGCAGCCGTGATCATAGTGAAACTTATGTTTGTCATAGCATATCTAAAGTATCTTGTTGGCTTCTCTTACTGGACAAGCCTGGCCCATGGCTGGCCTCCGAGAGTAGTGAAACTCTCGAAACTCTTCAAAGGTATATATCATTTGCATCTAAAGATTCATAAATTTTTTTCAGAATTTCCATAGGGTAGTTTGGCTGGCTTCCACAATCTTCAAATTGGTGATTGGTCAGTGTGCATCCTCTTGCCATTCCCAAATGTGGTGGCTGCTGGATATTTGTGGCTGGTGGTGGTGGTGCTAGTACTAGTACTAGTGATGGTGCAGTTGGTGGATGCAGCCTGGGATTTAGGGTACATCTTCCTCCTGGGGCTTGTGTTGGTGCCTCCCACCAGCCACTGCTGCATGCATTGCCTGTGGCCCACTATCCATGCTAATGGAAGCACCTTCATCTTCAGAGCATTAGGTCCTGTGATGACTACATCCATTGGGGATAGCAACAGGGGCACTGTCAGATTGCAGGTGTTGGTGTGTAAATTGATGCTTCACAGGCCAGTAATTGTCACCACTGGACTGATCATTGATTGCTAAGAAGTTTAATTACACACTACCATTACTATCCACATCTGCCTATACCACAGGAAAATGAGCCTTTACTTATGGCATGGACATGTTCTGGATGCACTGAACCCATATGTGGATGGCTGTGGGTCATTAGGGTTTTCAGGGCTATTTTTGACATTCTGATAATCATTTTCGGTCACACAACGTTCAGACCTGTCAAATTCATCCTTGGATCCAATAGCCTCATCATTGAGCTGTTGCTGGGGATAATACACGCTGAATTTGCTTGAGAGCGAGTGCCTTGCATCCACATGACATGGTAGACAGTGGTATATCAAGATGAACTGCTGCGACCTGTTTTTGTATAATATGCATACCGGCTGTACAGACGTATTCTCTCATGGCTAGTTTGCCAGGCTTCTCTTGCCAAATTTGTAAATTTGTGAGAGAGGCTGACTTCAGTAACATTGATCTGTTGGGAGACTATGAAAGGGTTAAAGGTATTAACTGCTACAACCATTGAACATCTTTAAATTATGATTAATTAATTGAAGATGGGACAGCATGAGCATATCTCTGCTCCTGTAGCTACAAATTTGTAATGAAATAAAAACTTTCACTTAAAATAAATCTACCAGCTCACATTTGGGTATCTCTAATGGGAGCATAGTGGAAGAAATAAAAGGACAAGTTTTCTGTTTGTTATATAGTACTTGACAGCATACAACTTTTGGAATTGCTGCAGTTTTTTTTTTTTTAACAAGTCGGCCGTCTCCCACCGAGGCAGGGTGACCCAAAAAGAAAGAATCCCTAAAAACAAAATACTTTCATCATCATTCAACACTTTCACCCCACACATAATAACTGTTTTTGCAGAGGTGCCCAGAATACAACAGTTTAGAAGTATATACGTATAAAAATACACAACATATCCCTCCAAACTGCCAATATCTCAAACCCCTCCTTCAGAGTGCAGGCATTGTACTTCCCATTTCCAGGACTCGAGTCCGGTTATATAAAATAACCAGTTTCCCCGAATCCCTTCGCTAAATATTACCCTGCTCACACTCCAACAGATCGTCAGTCCCAAATACCATTTGTCTCCATTCACTCCTATCTAACACGCTCACGCACGCTTGCTATTAAAATATTTGATAAAAAGGCATTTGCATCTAGACAGTTACATTTAATTAGTGCCATGTAATTTTTTTTTTTCACAGGATTTAACGTTGAAACTGTGGAGTATAAGAACATCAGCTTCACAGTTTGGGACGTTGGTGGCCAGGATAAAATTCGACCACTATGGCGTCATTACTTCCAAAACACACAAGTAAGATGTATTTTTTCTTCCAGGCTCTTTAAAAGAAAACTTGCTTGGGTTACAAACCTTGAGATAAAATGTGATTACACAGTATTATTCGGGGCAAGGGGGGGGGATGTTGCAAAAATTTTGCTTTGCAAGCCTCTTGAATTTTAATTGAAATTTTTAATTTTATTACTCCACCATGTAGCTTGTGTAGCTATATAAAAACTTGAAAGTTTGGGCTATTTTAACCCGTAAACGGTCCAAACGTATATACAGTGGATCCCCGCATAACGATCACCTCCGAATGCGACCAATTATGTAAGTGCATTTGTACGTTTGTTTGGGGGTCTGAAATGGACTAATCTACTTCACAATATTCCTTATGGGAACAAATTCGGTCAGTACTGGCACCTGAACATACTCCTGGAGTGAAAAAATGTCGTTAACTGGGGGTCCACTGTATACGCTTTTTCAACATTTGAAAGTATGTAAAAAAAGTAGATCTTTTTGTTTTTTTACATTTGAAAATGTGTAAAAAAAAACTTTGATCTACTTTTTTTTTTTTTTTTTTTAAATATGTAAAAAACCGTAGATCTACTTTTGTAGTGCTACACAAGCGGTGTTCCTCAGGGGTCAGTGTTGGGCCCGTTGTTCACAATTTACATAAACGACATAAATGAGGGAATAAATAGCGACATTTATTCCCTCATTCTAATGAGGACAGAGCACTCCAGGATGATTTAAGAACATAAGACATAAGAAAGGAGGCACAGTGCAGCAGGCCTGTTGGCCCATACTAGGCAGGTCCTTTACAATTCATCCCACTAACAAAATATTTGCCCAACCTAATCCTCAACACTATCCAAGAAATAAGCTCTGATGTGCAAGTCCCACTCAAATCCAACCCCTCCCACTCATGTACTTATCCAACCTAATTTTGAAACTACCCAAAGTCCTAGCCTCAATAACCCAACTTGGTAGACTGTTCCACTCAACTACCCTATTTCCAAACCAGTACTTTCCTATGTCCTTTCTAAATCTAAACTTATCTAATTTAAATCCATTACTGCGGGTTCTCTCTTGGAGAGATATCCTCAAGACCTTATTAATATCAACTTTATTAATACCTATCTTCCACTTATACACTTCGATCAGGTCTCCCCTCATTCTTCGTCTAACAAGTGAATGTAACTTAAGAGTCTTCAATCTTTCTTCATAAGGAAGATTTCTAATGCTATGTATTAATTTAGTCATCCTATGCTGAATGTTTTCTAACAAATTTATGTCCATTCTATAATATGGAGACCAGAATTGAGCTGCATAATCTAGGTGAGGCCTTACTAATGTGTAAAGCTGCAGTATGACCTCGGGACTTCCGTTGCTTACACTTCTTGATATAAATCCCAGTAATCTATTTGCCTTATTACGTACGCTTAGGCATTGCTGTCTTGGTTTAAGGTTGCTGCTCACCATAACCCCCAAGTCCTTTTTGCAATCTGTATGGCTAAGTTCTACATCATTTAACTTACAAGTGCTAGGGTTATGGACACTCCCGAGCTTCAGAACCTTGCATTTATCTACATTGAACTGCATCTGCCACATTTCTGACCAAGAGTTGAGTTTGTCTAAATCCTCCTGAAGTTCCCTAACATCTACGTTTGAATCAATTATCCTACTATCTTTGTGTCATCGGTGAATTTGCTCATATCACTAGTAATTCCCTCATCAAGATCATTGATATATATTATAAACAACAACGGGCCCAAGACTGATCCCTGTGGAACGCCACTTGTTACAGATCCCCACTCGGATTTGACCCCATTTATGGACACACTCTGCTTCCTGTCTGTGAGCCATGACTCGATCCATGAGAGCACCCTTCCCCCAATGCCATGAGCTGCCACTTTCTTTAACAGTCTTTGGTGCAGAACTCTATCAAAAGCCTTACTAGAATCTAAGTAAATACTATCAAATTCTTTATCGTGGTCAACAGCCTCAGAAGCTTTACAGAAGAACGTTAATAAATTAGTTAGACAAGACCGGCCTCTTGTGAATCCATGCTGAGTATCATTAATCAAGCTATGCTTATTGAGATGGCTTCTTATAATCTCGGCTATAATTGACTCTAGTAATTTGCCTACAATTGAGGTCAGGCTTATTGGGCAGTAATTTGACGGTAACGACTTGTCCCGTTTTAAAAATAGGAATTACATTAGCCATCTTCCACATGTCAGACACTACACCTGTTTGAAGAGATAAATTAAAAATATTAGTTAATGGTTCAGAGTTCCATTTTGCATTCCTTAAGAACCCTTGAAAAAACCTCATCAGGACCCGGTGACTTATTTTGCTTCAGTCGGTCTGTCTGCTTCACAACCATTTCACTAGTGACTGTGATGTTACATAATTTATCTTCTGGCCCACTATAAAAATTAATTACTGGAATATTATTAGTGTCTTCCTGTGTAAAAACCGAGAGAAAATAATTATTTAAAATCGAGCACATTTCATTATCTTTGTCAGTAAGATGCCCATAGTTATTTTTAAGGGGGCCTATCTTATCTCTGACTTTTGTTCTATATACCTGGAAAAAACTTTTTGGGTTAGTTTTAGAATCCCTAGCAACTTTAATTTCATAGTCCCTTTTAGCTTTTCTTATCCCGTTTTTAATGTCCCTCTTAATGTCAATATACTGATTCATAAGATGACCCTCGCCTCTTTTGATACGCCTATAAATTCCTTTCTTATGCCCTAGTAGATATTTGAGCCTATTATTCATCCATTTTGGGTCATTTCTATTTGATCTAATTTCTTTATACGGGATAAACGTTCTTTAAGCCTCATGTATAGTGTTCAGAAAACTGTCATATTGATAGCTCTCTTCGTTACCCCAGTCAACAGATAAGTGTTCTCTAAGCCCATCATAATCTGCTAAGCGAAAATCTGGGACTGTTACCGAGTTATCCCTACTATCATACTTCCATTCAATGCTAAATGTAATTGATTTGTGGTCGCTAGTACCCAGTTCCTCTGAAACTTCTAAATTATTAACAAGGGATTCATTGTTTGCCAGAACTGAGTCAAGCAGGCTATTACCCCTTGTAGGTTCTGTCACAAACTGCTTCAAAAAACAATCCTGAACTACTTCTAAGAAGTCGTATGATTCTAAATTCCCAGTCAAGAAATTCCAATCAATATGACTAAAGTTAGTCTCCTAGAATAACTACATTATTGTGCCTTGTGGCCCTAACAATTTCCTCCCATAGTAGTCTCCCTTGGTCCCTATCTAAGTTTGGGGGACGGTATATCACGCCTAAAATTTTTTCATGCCCCTCTGAAAATTCTATCCAAACACTGTATGTGTTACTTCAGACTTAATACCCGTTTTTATGCAACAGTTCAAGCGATCTTGGACATACAATGCCACCCCACCCCCCTTCCCGACACTTCTATCTACTTGGAACAATTTAAAACCCTGAATGTGACATTCCGCAGGCATGTCCCGACTTTTTGAATTAAACCACGTCTCAGTTATGGCAAATACTTCAATGTTACCTGCACTAGCAACTAATCTCAACTCGTTCATCTTATTCCTAGCACTGCGACTATTTGTGTAATATATATTTAAAGACCCTCCTCTCTCTTTACCCTTCCTGTTCCTTTGTTATTCCACTAAACCTATTACTGTCCTTGTCAATTAGTGCCACTGGCTTTCCAATATCCACCTCATTTTGCCTATTACTAGTTCTCCTAGTACTCGTATTACTGCACTGTGATTTCACTGTTTTCCCGCCAAAACCCATACCACTAACTACTACTAGTTTTAAAGACCTAAGAGCTCCTTCCACTGCGTTGGCCAGTGCTCCCACCCCAGACCTAGGTAAGTGAACCCCATCTCTGGCATACATGTCATTTCTGCCATAGAAGAGGTCCCAGTTGTCAATGAATGTTACTGCATTTTCCTTACAGTATTTGTCCAGACAGCAATTGACACCAATTGCTCTGGACAACCATTCATTTCCAACTCCTCTCCTTGGCAAAATGCCACATATGACAGGTTTCCCACCCTTCCTCCTAATTATCTCTCTTGCTGACCTATACCTGCTAATCAGGTCCTTGCTCCTACGTCTGCCAACATCGTTGCCTCCAGCACTGAGACAGATAATAGGATTGCTCCCATTACCTCTCATGGTGTCATCCAGATGGCTAACAGTATCCTTCATCCCAGCCCCAGGAAAACACACTCTGCCTCCTACTCCTATCCTTCAAGCAGAATGCCCTAACCATGTACCTAATCTGGCTATCCCCAACAACAATGTTTTTACCTTCCTTGGTGTCGTCCGTCGTGATGCTCCCAGTAGTCGACTCATATTTGTCAGGTAGCATTACACCGCTTGTGGAATTCGTCAAGACGTTCTCGATGGTCTTCGTTGGGGTTTCTAGGGATGTCTCACTCACGTCTGCCAATGCTTCCTTGGTGCTCGTTGTGGCATTCCCAGTAGAACACTCAACATTTGTCAGGTAGCACAGAGAATGGGTTGGAAGTTTCCACGGTAGTCTTCTGGTTTCTCGTTGTTTCTGCCTTGCCAACCGTTTTCTTGATCCTCAGCTTGGTTCCGTTAATCACCGTATCTCCAGCTTAGCAACTCTGAGCTCTTCTCTCAGCTGCTGGTAAAGTTGCTCAAGAGAGGGAATCCTGGTTCAGATTAACAGAGCACACAAACAGGTCTTCACAGAGCTAAGTACACGTCGCCATTTGAATAGACTTGACGCAATGGTCGGAGAAGTGGCAGATGCAGTTTAATATTGACAAATGCAAAGTTCTAAATGTTGGACAGTTAAATAACCATGCCACATATAAACTAAATAATGTAGATCTTAATACTACCGATTGCGAAAAGGATTTAGGAGTTCTGGTTATCAGTAACCTAAAACCAAGACAACAGTACATTAGTGTTTGCAATAAAGCTAACAGAATTCTTGGCTTCATATCTAGAAGTATAAATACAGTGGACCCCGCATAGCGACCTTAATCCGTGCAAGAGGGCTGGCTGTTATGCGAAATGTTCGGTATGCGAATGAATTTTCCTCATAAGAAATAATGGAAATCAAATTAATCCGTGCAAGACACCCAAAAGTATGAAAAAAAAAATTTTTACCACATGAAATGTTAATTTTAATACACACAAACTGAAAAAGGCATGCACAATTACATGACACTTACTTTTATTGAAGATCTGGTGATGATTGATGGGATGGGAGGAGGGGAGAGTGTGTGTTAGTGTTTAGAAGGGGAATCCCCTTCCATTAAGACTTGAGGTGTCGAGTCCTTTTCTGGGGTTACTTCCCTTCTTCTTTTAATGCCACTAGGACCAGCTTCAGAGTCACTGGACTTCTTTCGCACAACATATCTGTCCATAGTGGCCTGTACCTCTCGTTCCTTTATGACTTCCCTAAAGTGTTTCACAACATTGTCAGTGTACAGGTTGCCAACACGGCTTGCAATAGCTGTGTGAGGGTGATTTTCATCAAAAAAGGTTTGCACTTCAAGCCATTTTGCACACATTTCCTTAATCTTTGTAGTAGGCAATTCCTTCAATTTCTCTCTCCCCTCCTTTGAACCAGTTTCCTCAGGTCTGGCCTCTTGCTCTTGAAGTTGATCTATCAGCTCATCAGTGGTTAGTTCTTCATTGTCCTCCTCCACCAACTCTTCCACATCCTCCCCACTAACCTCCAACCCCAAGGACTTCCCCAATGCCACAATTGATTCCTCAACTGGCATACTCCTCTCAGGGTTAGCCTCAAACCCTTCAAAATCCCTTTTGTCTACACATTCTGGCCACAGTTTCTTCCAAGCAGAGTTCAAGGTCTTCTTAGTCACTCCCTCCCAAGCCTTACCTATAAGGTTTATACAATTGAGGATATTAAAGTGATCTCTCCAAAAGTCTCTTAGTCAGTTGAGTTTCTGAGGTCACTACAAAGCACCTTTCAAACAGAGCTTTTGTGTACAGTTTTTTGAAGTTTGCAATAACCTGCTGGTCCATGGGCTGCAGGAGAGGAGTGGTATTAGGAGGCAAAAACTTCACCTTTAATGAATTTCATGTCCCATAAAGTCGCTCTGCCACGTCTGTGGGATGACCAGGGGCATTGTCTAACACCAGGAGGCACTTAAGTTCTAATTTCTTTTCAGTTAGGTAATCTTTCACATTGGGGGCAAATGCATGGTGTAACCAGTCATAGAAAAAGTCCCTAGTGACCCATGCCTTACTGTTTGCCCTCCACAGCACACACAAATTTTCCTTGAGGACATTCTTTTGCCTGAACGGTCTGGGAGTTTGAGTGATACACTAATAAAGGCTTCACTTTGCAATCACCAGTAGCATTGGAACACATCAACAAAGTAAGCCTGTCTTTCATAGGCTTATGTCCTGGGAGTGCCTTTTCCTCCTGAGTAATGTAGGTCCTGCTTGGCATTTTCTTCCAAAACAGGCCTGTTTCATCACAATTAAACACTTGTTCAGGTTTCAGTCCTTCACTGTCTATGCACTCCTTGAATTCCTGCACATATTTTTCAGCCGCTTTGTGGTCCGAACTGGCAGCCTCACCATGCCTTATCACACTATGTATGCCACTACGCTTCTTAAATCTCTCAAACCAACCTTTGCTGGCCTTAAATTCACTCACATCATCACTAGTTGCAGGCCTTTTTTTAATTAAATCCTCATGCAACTTCCTAGCCTTTTCGCTTATGATCGCTTGAGAAACGCTATCTCCTGCTAGCTGTTTTTCATTTATCCACACCAATAAGTCTCTCTCAACATCTTCCATCACTTGCGATCTCTGTTTCGAAAACACAGTTAAACCTTTGGCAAGAACAGCTTCCTTGATTGCCTTTCTGTTGCCCACAATAGTAGAGATGGTTGATTTGGGTTTCTTGTACAACCTGACCAGGTCGGCGATACGCACTCCACTTTCATACTTATCAATGATCTCTTTCTTCATCTCTATTGGAATTCTAACCCTTATTGCTGTAGGGTTGGAACTAGAAGCTTTCTTGGGGCCCATGGTCACTTATTTTCCAGATAAAGCACCAAAAACACTGTAATAATACGAAATATTCCGATTGTATGCTTGGATGTTACCGCGGAGGCTGGCTGGTAAACAATGCCACCGGCGGAACATATGAGGCTGGCTCAGGCCGCACATTGGACGCGTCTCGGACGAAGGGCGCTGAGCGGGTTTTTGGGCGGTATGCGAGGCAAAATTTTAGCGATCAAAGCGTCCGGTATGCGGATTGTACGTTATGCAAGGCGTCCAGTATGCGGGGGGTCCACTGTAATAGAAGTCCTCAGGTTGTTCTTCAACTCTATATATCCGTGGTTAGGCCTCATTTAGACTATGCTGCTCAGTTTTGGTCACCGTATTACAGAATGGATATAAATGCTCTGGAAAACGTACAAAGGAGGATGACAAAGATGATCCCATGTATCAGAAATCTTCCCTATGAGGATAGACTGAAGGCCCTGAATCTGCACTCTCTCGAAAGGCGTAGAATTGGGGGGGATATGATCGAGGTGTATAAATGGAAAACAGGAATAAATAAAGGGGATGTAAATAGTGTGCTGAAAATTTCCAGCCAAGACAGGATTTGCAGCAATGGTTTCAAGTTGGAAAAATTCAGATTCAGGAAGGATATAGGAAAGCACTGGTTTGGTAAGAGTTGTGGATGAGTGGAACAAACTCCCGAGTACAGTTATTGAAGCTAAAACGTTGTCTAGTTTTAAAAATAGGTTAGATAAATGCATGAGTGGGTGTGGGTGGGTGTGAGTTGGACCTGACTGGGTCTGGTACAGTGCTCCATCCTTGAGTGTGGATGACCAGACTGGGTGGGTCATTGGTCTAATCCAGGGGGGGGGGCATGGACCTGCTCTGCATGGGTCAGTAGGCCTGTTGCAGTGTTCCTTCTTTCTTATGTTCTTATGTGAACGTAGATCTGCTTGGACCGTTTACAGGTTAAAGGGACTTGGTATGATATATTAAGAGTTGTCATAAAGCTTACTCTTACCTGTACTGTCCTGTGACACTGGCATTTTCATAATCATTTGCATAACTGGAGAAGTAAAACAACAGATAAAAGGGGTCTGGCAGAATGTAAACATTAGGCAGTTTCATTTGGAAACTAAAGCTTTTTGAAGTCTCCATGGAAGCAAAACTAGTAATGTATTAGAAGCCTTAATGGCCTTTGTGAGGCTTAACCAGTACTTTAGCAGTCACCTTAAATTTTATTTTTTTTAAGACCTGCCGATTGTATAGCCCTTCTCCCAGAAGTCTAAAGACTTTGCTAAAATCTGTGGAGGTAATGAAAAAAATTTCCTAAAAAAAAAAAAAAGGGGGGGGGGGGCAGGTGGATTGCCTTACCTAAATTCTGGCAGAGCCAGACACCTAAACTCCACCCATTCCCCCCAGTCAACAATGACAGGCTTTCCCAAAGTCTGAGAGAGCTGATGTATGTCATCCTTTCCCGTTACTGATAGGGGGGGGGGGGAGACAAGCTGTGTGCAATAAGGAATAGTGTCCAGAAGACAATGGGGCTCGAGGCAAGGGCAAAGTGAGAGGACTAGTCTCAACAGGAGCCAACTTGGAAGTCCTGCCTGCCACATCTCTTAATTATATTTTCTAACATTTGTACATTCTCAGTTATGGCTGATTTATATCCTTGGGGAAAGGATGGGGGGATAAGCTTTATCAGTAGTTGCGGCGTTTGACTGAAATTAGTGGCTTGACTAAACTGTACATAAATAGTTTTAAGCATTGTATTAACATTCACAATTTTAATGGGTGGCTGTTTCCTTCAATCAGTTGACTGATACTGTATTGAATATTAAAAATTAAAGTACCATAAATCAAATGTTAACTTTACAATTTGTAGGGCAGGCATTTAGAGATGATCTTATGATGTCGCCTGGCTTTTTGAACACTGACCTGCCAATTTTTTTTTTCCTTGTGAACCTCTTGAGGACCAATTCTGGAGCAAGTTTTTGACTGCTTGTGCATGTGAAAAAGTTTAATTTAGGATTTCTCTGTAGTACAATATTGAACTGCAATATTTGAGCCTTTCTGAAAAGTAGCTAGTGGTAAATGTTTTAAATTCATAGTTGCCCAGTGGCTTTTTTTTTTTTTTTTTACTTGTCTGGCAATATAAAATCAGCATGAATTCTTTTGCTTATCCTGTTCTTTCCACAGGGGCTCATCTTCGTTGTTGACTCCAATGACCGAGAACGTATTGGTGAAGCGAGAGAAGAACTCATGCGAATGTTAGCTGAAGATGAACTCAGAGATGCTGTGCTTCTCATATTTGCTAACAAACAGGTTAGTATATACTAAATTGTGAGCAAGGAATTCTTGTCACTGATGTACCTCAGATGGGTTTCAAGCATTTACCCAAGTCATTTGCCAAAAGCATGCAATACCACTGATGGTAATTTTCAGTTCCTCTTCCCTTTAAAATATTCTTACTGTTGCTACTAACTCCTACTGTGCTTGCTCCTAACTACTGTGCTTGCTCCTAACTACTGTGCTTGCTCCTAACTACTATGCTTGCTACTACTATTACTATGCTTGCTACTACTATTACTATGCTTGCTACTACTATTACTATGCTTGCTACTAACTTCTGTTGCTATGCTTGCTACTAACTTCCGCTGCTATGCTTGCTACTAACTTCCGTTGCCATGCTTTTGTTTCTAACCTCCGTTGCCATGCTTTTGTTTCTAACCTCCGTTGCCATGCTTTTGTTTCTAACCTCCGTTGCCATGCTTTTGTTTCTAACCTCCGTTGCCATGCTTTTTTCTAACCTCCGTTGCCATGCTTTTGTTTCTAACCTCCGTTGCCATGCTTTTGTTTCTAACCTCCGTTGCCATGCTTTCGTTTCTAACCTCCGTTGCCATGCTTTCGTTTCTAACCTCCGTTGCCATGCTTTCGTTTCTAACCTCCGTTGCCATGCTTTCGTTTCTAACCTCCGTTGCCATGCTTTCGTTTCTAACCTCCGTTGCCATGCTTTCGTTTCTAACCTCCGTTGCCATGCTTTCGTTTCTAACCTCCGTTGCCATGCTTTCGTTTCTAACCTCCGTTGCCATGCTTTCGTTTCTAACCTCCGTTGCCATGCTTTCGTTTCTAACCTCCGTTGCCATGCTTTCGTTTCTAACCTCCGTTGCCATGCTTTCGTTTCTAACCTCCGTTGCCATGCTTTCGTTTCTAACCTCCGTTGCCATGCTTTCGTTTCTAACCTCCGTTGCCATGCTTTCGTTTCTAACCTCCGTTGCCATGCTTTCGTTTCTAACCTCCGTTGCCATGCTTTCGTTTCTAACCTCCGTTGCCATGCTTTCGTTTCTAACCTCCGTTGCCATGCTTTCGTTTCTAACCTCCGTTGCCATGCTTTCGTTTCTAACCTCCGTTGCCATGCTTTCGTTTCTAACCTCCGTTGCCATGCTTTCGTTTCTAACCTCCGTTGCCATGCTTTCGTTTCTAACCTCCGTTGCCATGCTTTCGTTTCTAACCTCCGTTGCCATGCTTTCGTTTCTAACCTCCGTTGCCATGCTTTCGTTTCTAACCTCCGTTGCCATGCTTTCGTTTCTAACCTCCGTTGCCATGCTTTCGTTTCTAACCTCCGTTGCCATGCTTTCGTTTCTAACCTCCGTTGCCATGCTTTCGTTTCTAACCTCCGTTGCCATGCTTTCGTTTCTAACCTCCGTTGCCATGCTTTCGTTTCTAACCTCCGTTGCCATGCTTTCGTTTCTAACCTCCGTTGCCATGCTTTCGTTTCTAACCTCCGTTGCCATGCTTTCGTTTCTAACCTCCGTTGCCATGCTTTCGTTTCTAACCTCCGTTGCCATGCTTTCGTTTCTAACCTCCGTTGCCATGCTGCTACCGTTGCCATGCTGCTACCGTTGCCATGCTGCTACCGTTGCCATGCTGCTACCGTTGCCATGCTGCTACCGTTGCCATGCTGCTACCGTTGCCATGCTGCTACCGTTGCCATGCTGCTACCGTTGCCATGCTTGCTACCGTTGCCATGCTTGCTACCGTTGCCATGCTTGCTACTAACTACTACTGCTTGCTACCAACTAATACTGCTTTTGCTACTACAGTGGACCCCCGGTTTACGATATTATTTCATTCTGGAAGTATGTTCAGGTGCCAGTACTGACTGAATTTGTTCCCATAAGTAATATTGTGAATTAGATTAGTCCATTTCAGACCCCCAAACATACACACAAACGCGCTTACATAAATACACTTACATAATTGGTCGCATTGGGAGCTGATCGTAAACCGGGGGTCCACTGTATTTACTTGTACTACACAAATTATGTAATGCAGGTTATTTTAACATTTTATAATTAGATTATTACATTTCACTTGTCCTTTTTGTTTTAATTGTTTTTTGTGCTAAATGATTTACAAAGTCAAAGGGCTCTTCAGGTCTCAACTTCTACAGAGTTATGGAACACAGGATTTGCATATTTACATATTTGTAGGGTGCACCTGTAATGTCTGTCATCCACATATAATTTAAATTTTGATTCCAATAATTTTGGCACTTGATGCCTCTTAAAGCCCCTTTTCTTGTTCTACCACTTTGGTGAGCCTTTCAGCTCCTAGATTTAGTGTTACACTTGAAGCAGTTTCACACATGGTGTAGATAAATATCACTATTAGCTTCATGCCATTAGATTACAATGAATTAAGTTTACAACAGAACATGATGTAATACAGGGTGTCCACGAAAGCACTCCCTGATTTCAAACAGGTATACCATGCAACTTTATTGTAATAATCTTTCACAGTTATAGCTTCAGATGTAGGATTTCAGTTTCATGTGCACATTAAAGTACCTTTAATGCTACCCTATACCACATGAAACTGAAAGAAATCCTACATCTGAAGCTACTGACTGCAAAATATTATTTCAATAAATTTACATGTTATACCTGTTTGAAATCAGGGAGTGTTTGTGGACACCCTGTACTTTCAAAAGTACATGCCACTACTGGCTGCAGTTTCTTAAAAAAAAAAAACCTAGAGCATATGATTGATAATTTGAAGTTGTGAATAATTAAACTTGTATGTAAAGGGTTCAAATTAAAGTTAATGCCTTGTTTGTTTTTAAAATGGTTCACTATGATCCCAGATGGTTTAATATTTTAATTTTTTTTTTTTTTGCAGGATCTCCCAAATGCGATGAATGCCGCAGAGATCACTGATAAATTAGGTTTGCATTCTTTGAGGAATAGAAACTGGTATATTCAGGCTACTTGTGCTACAAGTGGAGATGGTCTCTATGAAGGTTTAGATTGGCTGAGTAACCAGCTGAAGAATGCAAATCGCTAAACACCAGCAGCTCTCACACATTTAAAAGCTGAACTAGTGGGCCGTGATTATTTAGGTTCCTGGCTTGGATAAGGCTATTGTTGCCCGTTCTGCACAGAAAAGTTAGTGATGACAAAGGAAAAACTGGTTCTGGAAAAAAAAAGTTATTCAGTGTGTTACAAACACTGTGAATCTGTAACTGGAAGTTGCTGTGGGTGATTTCCTGCAAGATAGCACTAATTCAGGCACTAGGTGGTGCCTGGGCATGGAAAAATGTGCACAGTGAACAAGTGATGGGCTGGACAGAGCAGCAATGTTACCTCAACTGAGGTGTCAGCAGTGTGTGAATGACTATAATAGTGGTGAAAGAGAGAGAACAAGCCTTGCTGTTTGTCCAGTCTACAATATTGACTTTAAAGCCTGAGGTCAGGTCATACCGGAGCCCAGTGTTCTCTTGTCTTACTGTAGTCTGAGAACTTAATTATTAGGACTTGGGCCCCAGTATGATACTTGGCTTGAGTGTAATGCCTTTATACTGGTGTAAAAGTCTGGTATGTGCTCTTCAAAGAAAGCAACAATTTTCATAAAATTTTATTTTATTTCTTCATTATCTTCACTTTTCATTTGAGATTTTATAATTTTTTTTTCTTGGTTTAAGGTAGGAACTTTTATTTATTGGAATGTATTTGCAGCTCACATCTGTGTTAGAATTGGTGCACTTTGCTTGGTCTAAAACAAATCAAAGGTCCTTTGATGGGACAGACCACACTCAAAAGTTGACTTTTGTTGGAACATTCCCGTTGGCATAGAATTGATGTGGAGCTACTGTATCAGTTAATCAACTTTGATGTCTCATATTTTGTCATCTTCAGATCCTGAATTTCATAAAATATATTACCAAATACTGATGCCCTTTCCTTGGTACTGTTAAACTTGAGCAGGCAAAATCCCTTAAAAGGAAACTAGATTGATAACAAGGTGGTTTCTAAATATGCTCTTTGACTAAGTGTAATAAAACTTAATTTGTGCTTAAAGATTTCTATGCTGTTATCCTAAGGCTGCCGTAGAATTTAATGTCGTGTGTTAGTGACTATTTTAAGGTTGGAACAAATATTATATTTTTTGTGCAAGCAAATATTGATAGTTTGGGGGAAAGATCTAGTTATTATTGATTTACCTTATAAGCATTGTCCAAATATTTTATTGATTGGAATAAATATTTAACACTTAAACAACATTCAGTATATATATTCATATTAAAACTTGACAAATATTAAGAATTTTGGTTATATTAAATACAAAGGACATATGACCCTTAAGTTCATTTATTAATACAATAGTGGTCATTGAAATACATGACTATATTGGTGCACTGTTGCAAAAACAAAATTTCAAGTTACTTTTATTGAATGATAAAAAAAATATTGAAAATATTGACGCTTGCAATATACAAGTGTTATAATTGTACCCTAAAATCTATGGGTAATAAAAGATTGTGAAAAAAATTATTTTAAGATGCCTAAAAGATAACACTGACTTAGCAAACCATCACTAGTGGCACCATGTGATGCACTCAGCAATTAATACTAGTGCTGAATGACCCATACAGGTTTAGCACTTTGCATGTATACAATAATAGGCAGCCCTTAAGAAAACAAGTTTTCTAGAATATTCACTTGTAGAAAAAAAGTATTTTAAACATTTAAAAATTGAAACAGACCTTGAAAATAGTGTTGATGTTTTGAGGCATTGCAGATAGTAAGAGCAAACTCAACCTCTAAGCATTTTTAAGTAATGACTTAAAATTCAAAATTTTTAAATACTAGTGTTTTCAAGAGCAACTTTCAACATACTAGGAGAGTTTACCTTCACTGTCCTTGGTCAGTGCTTGAATAATTAAAATTATCTTCTTCCTTAAAGGGAATTAGACCTCGTGTTTCCTTCCTAGGATTGAATCGAAATGCTCCTAACCCTTCCTCTCAAAGGAAGTAGTCCTATCTTCCTTGGATTGAACCTGATTCTCTCATGTGCTGAATGACTCCTCTGGTTTTATATCTTCACCCATTATTATAATTGAAATTTTCTTTGTGAAATAGCTCTTAAATGGAGGGGGATGAGAAAGATCCATTATCATCCATGTTTTAACTTGCTTCCATGGATAGTGCTGCAGTCGGTGTTTCTCAACTTGATGGAAATTTGATATAGGTAATGTCAGGTGACTGAAGTATTAGTGTCTGCAGTTGAAGATGTAGTACTTAGGGCATTCATTTTAGTTTGCCCAGTCATCATTTGCTGAAAGACCAGGCAGTTTTGCTAACCTTGCTCAGTCAGTTCAAGTGGCAGCAGCTTGGTGTGCATCAGGTAGGGTGTGTGTATATTTACTAGGAACACTGTTGCAAAGATGACAGTGGTTACCAGATTCTTCTGTTTTGCTGAGCTGTGTTGTATGACCCCTATGCATTAGTGCTTCCTGTTGTAATGGTGCTAAACCTACAAGGGTCATACGTTGTGCTTCTCTCTAAATATGTTTGCAGAACTGCCCCCATGTCTATACCTTACGAGAGGCTCCCTTTTGGATACCCAGTAACTGATATCCTTTAATAACCCCAACATGGCCATGAATTTTCCCTAGTACCTGAAATTGCTTTCAGGCAGTCACTCTGCCTAAACACCTGTGGTACCTCTTGACTCTCGCACAACCTTGTCTATGGAACAGGCTTCACAAACAGTGCAACAATAACTTGAAGACTTCATGTATCAAAGGACAGTGACTTGAAGGCATCTGCCAAGAGGAAGTAAGATAACACCAACAGTGCATGCACTATGATGCCTGACCTGTGGGTTTAGTGCCTCGTACCTTTCCTTTCCCCCTCCAGTGTAATTCCTGATGTAGTACAAGTCCATACCCTTAAGCTCCCAAATCTGTATAAACCGCAGTTAAATGCTTGCTAGTGAGGAAGTGCAAACCAACACAAGGATGTTACAAATCGTGATGCTGAGGCCAACCGGCAACATATTTCAGGTCATGGGTAGAATGTCATCTGTTGATTATTATAATAATCGAGGAGTGCTAAACCCGTAGGATTATGCAGTGCCTGTGGGGGGATGTGGAAGGTATTTAGGCCTAATTCAGGGAACGGGAGCACATTATTATAATAAAAAAGCGCTAAGCCACAAGGGCTATACAGCGCTGCAGGGTAGGGAAGGAATCGAGGGTATTGGGTGGCAGAAGGGAGGGGGGATGATCAGTAGGTTACAGAAAACAGCGGGGCAGGGGATAGTACGGGGGTAGAGGGTAGCAAGAGTGAAGTAGAAAGGGCTGAAGGTATCAGAATTTGTGAAAGTCAGTCAGTCAGTTGTTGTCAAAAAGTCAATGAGAAACTGGAGCACAGATCCAATTCCCTAGATCAAGATCCCCTTGCCAACATCATGGAACCTTCCTTGAGGGTGGTCATCTGTTGAGATACAACCTAAATTTACTCCCTTCTCTGCCTTAGCTGAAAAGATAGACATCCCTCAATCTCAACTGGTGCCAGTTTATATTTTGGAAAAGTGGCGTTTGAATTATAATCAAAAAGAACTAAACCACAAGTGCTATACAGCAGTGGTGTTTGAAAGGGTTTATTAGTTAAAACTAAGCACTAACCCACAAGGGTCATAGGACACTACAGGGTGGGATGTGCCAAAGATGTAATCTGCAAATTATTATAGTGCTAAACCTACAAGGGTCATACAGCACTGCTGGCATCTGCAAAGATCAGAAGGTTAGCAGCATGCAAGAGGCAGTTAGCAAGGGTAGTGGGGAACACTAAAGAGAAAACAAATCAAAGTTGGTGTAACAAGGCAATTGCTGACAGAGGTAGTTGCATCGGAGGTGGTGGTCAGATAAATTTAGTAAGTGCGTTGGCGTGGTGACTGTCGTTAGTAAATTATTATTATAATCAAAAAGAAGCGCTAAGCCACAAGGGCTATACAGCTGTCGTTAGTAAAGTGTCGGCTAATAGACAGGACAGTTTATTAAGAGATGAGCTGACAATGAAACTTGACAATTCTCACAGCAGCGCTGAGCGTTTCCACAAGTAAGATGTGCGTCTGATACGTAGGTGAGAGATGATAATCTCCCAAACATGACATTGATAAATAACTAGAAACCCAAACAAGGTTTGGCAATGCAATTTATGAACCAACTCAGACGATCATTGTTGCCAGTGATTCTAAAATCATTTTACAGTGGCATGGCTTAGACATCCCATAAAGTGTTCATGTAGATTGAGAAGATACTCTTTTTGCCACACATTAGACCGTGATTAAAACCCATGCAAGAGTGGTTCCTTGACGGTGGTGAGGGGCTCTTGATCCAGGAAACTGAATTCTTCCTCCTCTGAATCAAACATGAATGCCTCCCATTCCCTATTGTAAAACCAGGCAGTTACCAAACTCTCCTTACGTTATTATAATCACAACAATGAACACACTTACAGAGGAGAAAAACTCTGTCTACTCCATTCTCTCATCCAATGGCTAGTAATACATTTCAACTATTTGCCCATGGCTTTGGCCTTTTTGCTTATGTTGTGACCCTAGTAGGTTTAGAGCTATTTTGATAATTTGCTTATGATTACCAGGGTGCTTGTAGGGACCCTGGTAATCATAAAAATTAGTGGGACTAACTAATTCTGATTATTTTAATTTTTGTTTTATCAGTTTTTCCAATATTATTATAATCATAACTAAGCATTAAACCCACAAGGGTCATACAGCACTGAGGCAACCAGCAGTAACAGCTTGGTTGATCAGGTCTTTATTCTCTAGGCGGCCTGGTCTGGGACCTGGCTGTGGGAGCACTGATTCCCAGTAATGTCCTTCAGGTAAGTGCCAAGATTACTGAATGATCATCCTGGTCAGTGTTCTTCATATATCAAAATTAGCTACTTACCAAGTAGTGCCTTCTCATGCCAACTCATATCCAACCTCTTTTGCAGTTCTCATTTACACTATACAACAAAATTTAACTCGCTATCCTGTTCAGAAACAAAATGGGTTGTTTTAAGCTAACTTTGACGAGCTGATCGTGAATCAGCTTTAGTATATCATGCAAGTTCTTTGAAACCTTATGATCAATATTATGGCTGTTTATAAAGGCTGAGGAAGTGCAAGATATATGTTACCTAACAATCATAGATACATATTATATTATGCACAAGATATTAACAGTGGTACATGCAATGGCAAAAACTAATCTTTCTTAATGTAAATGCATTGTGTATATGCAGTACATAAAATAAATTTCCATAATCATATATATTTACATCAATTATCAATAATTTGTGCATGTTCAGTATTGCTCTCCTGCACCAGTGTCCAGTAGTAGTTGGCCATCAAACTGATCATCAGGTTTCCCTGATCTCTTTTCTGTGATGGTTATGTCTTGGTGAAATTTTGCATTGTAGGGTTCTATTTCACAAAGTGTATGTTTTGGAGCAGGTCTGAATTAAATGTGAACCAAAACCTGTGTTGGCCAATGTTTTGTACCTATTTCTTCTCCATCCATCATGTTCACTGCCCCATACCCTATGGTCTTCTTCAGGAAGAGTGTGGCCATTTTCACCAAGATATTGGAGAGGACAGGAGGAGCTGGACATGTAGTACACATTGGATAATATCAGCAACAGAAGTATGAGCTAGATTCCTACAAAGGAAGGCAAGTTTGATATCTAAAGGATGGAGGGTGTTAAGATTTTGAAGACTGGAAATGTAGGGAAGGCAAAGAACAGGAGATTTCACAGAAGTGAGTTTGGGAGAAAGTTAGCCTGAGAATAGCAGTTTGTGAAACTCGATGGGTTGCCAAGGCAGGAGTATGAGCTGTGAAGACTGGAAATTTCAGAAAGAAAGAACACTTTTCTAGACAGAAGAAACATAATAGAGAAGCAGTGAATGTACATGCCATTATGCAAAGGCTTGAGGGAATGGAAAAAGAAAACCCTTTTACAGAGCTATAGACAGGGACAAAGAAAGGAAGTGGTGAGTTAGATTT